AAATGCTCATATGAGGCTACCGTTAACATTTGGAAGATCTTCTGTAATAGCGGTGTGCCTTTCAAATATAACCACATGCAATATCTATCCCACGCAACTCACGAAGAAGTCCTTGGTCCTTTGTTCAAAGGTTTTTTGCCGAAATTATTTAAGATGGAATCAACTACGACTTATTATCTCAGTGTAGAAGATCCGAATAACCAAGAGGCTAATGATCAAAATGCTGAGGGCCAACATGAAGAAACAAGCGTAAACATTACGTTACCTATCGATTGCAATTATACCACTTCGAAGTCAGATCACAAAATCCTCGAATCAGACGATCAAAATGACGAATTAATCATGTGGTTCGAAGTCCTTAGTAATCTAAATGACCACTTAATGATATCCAATGACGGAAAACTTGCTACAAATGAGTTTAAACAGTATTTGAGAGCATTCATGGATAAAATTGACGTATCTCAATTTAAGAATAATAAGAGAAGGCCATTTGATTTATCAGACCACCAATCAAAGAAAAAGCAGAGGAATAATATACTCATCAGTAATTCCAAATAGGGATTAATTTCACGTCAATTTTTATGCTTAATAAAACTAAGAAAAAATTTTAAAGACAAATCAGGCGTTTTTTACATGTTTTTTTATATTATTGAATATTATACTTTTTTTATTTTGTTTTGATCAAACGAATTTATATAATCGAAGAAATCCTTTATCATATTTAGGAATTTATTATTTTTATAGGGATATATTGATTATTTATGGTTTCATAGATACGTGAAAACTTCAGCTTATATTTAATTTCTTATGATTTTACTATTTGATATTTTTTCAAACATTATTACCTTTGTTTTCTCGCGTTTCGATTAGTCTTTTTGAAATTTCCATACATTTGGAAGTAAAGCTTAACAAAAAATACAATATGATTTTGTCCTTTTAACATGTTAAATAAAGTGAATGATTCTGATTCTTTTTCAGAAGGTTATAATAATGTCGATGAGGAGTTTTTTTTTTAATTAACAATATATGTAACAAAAATTCACCACAGGTTACTTAAAACGAAAAAATTCAAAGATACCTTGGGAACTCAAATCTTTAAATAAGTAAACTTTGGATCACAGTTCCTGTAATCAGTTTCAAATTTTACTTATTTAAAGATTTGAGTTCCAAAGGTATCTTTGGATTTTTTTGTTTTAAGTAACCTGTTGTAAATTTTTGTTCCAAACATCTCTCAAGAAAAAACCAACTCAAAATTTGTACCTTGTATGGAACCAATTGGAAAACAACTCCATCTCTACTTGAGTTGTAAATTATGAATGTTTGTTATGAGTATTATTTTGTTTTTCATGCAGTTAGTTCTTTTATTAGCATCAAATTTTTTTGGATCACAGGTAAGATAAACGAGCAGATGGAATTAGTTCATGCTGAAAAGAGAGTTTCATTTCATTTCATTAAATTTAAATATAGATATCTTGAGAATGTTCAACGATCGAATCCCCTCAAAAATGGAAGAGAAAAAAAATTCCTTGGTATAGACTTTGTAAGTTACTAAATTAAAAAATCGGTAAATTTGAAGGTTTGTTGCCTATATTAATTCTTAAACAAACAAAACGCGAACTTTATTGTAATCTCTAGGCAAAATTCGCATGACAACACTAATTGTGTTATTAGGCTCGAGGCGCGTAAGCATTTTATTTGTTTTTAAATTTAAAGTATCTCTTTTTTAGCATCATTATAATTATTAGTGTCTTGAGCCTATATCCCCTTCAGCTTTCTCCTGCACGTCACATTGTATACAGTATATATGCCCTTTAAGCCGTCTTTTGTTCAATTTCAAATTCTTTAATTTAGATAATTATGAAATGGTAATCAAATTTCTATCATAGATGTTTCCACTAATATGTTGGTTCAACAGAACTGCATAAACTGTTAATCAGCCAAATTGGATTGAAAAGATTCAAAAACAACGGAGTGATTACTTCACATATGAACTAATAATATAACAAAGTATTTTTTTTCCCTGACAAAATTTGTTTTAAGCGATAAATTGCATAAAAAATATTACTGATAAAATACAAGCTTACATTTCAAAAAAATTCACTATAGATCTCATACAAGAACTCTAAACTTTGGAAAAATAGTTGATGTCAGATCATATAGTAATTAACAAATTTTTTATTGAATTATATAGAAATTCAATATTAGGTTTTAAGAATTCAAGGAGGCGCGTTCATGTTATTTTATATTATATAATGTTAGTTCGTATAACCTATTTTTTTTTTAGTACCAAAATCAATAACAAATATTAAATACATTTTATACATAGGTTTATCTCTCATGCACCATCGTTACTGTCACTTGATACTGAAAGCTTTGATCTCCTAAAGTAACTGAAAATTACTTTTTTTTCTTAATAATTGGCTTAAGTCTAACGGATACAATCATCCGAGAAGGCACTAAATCTATACTTTATTGGAGTTTAATATGAAGAGATCATTGGATTTTCTCAAATCTTAATTTACATGAAAGATTTGTATAATAATTTTCAAGACTATCTCATTAATTGAAAATTTGGATTTGGCTTCAAATAAATGACATTATAGCAGATAAAATGAAAATACTATAAGAAGACGCGCAACGTAATTTTAGACTTCAGTGGCATAGCGGAAAAATATAAGAGAAGGTATAACGCGCTTTGTGCTAAATTTGCATGAAAATCTAGGATTTGGTGAAGTGAGATAAATAAGAGATGTATTTAACGTGAAAATGGTGGCCTTTTGTTTCGAAAGACACGGCTAAGGGATTACGACCAGGTTTGTGATTATGAAATTAATACAGAAACTGATAAATCCACCACATGCCTTAAAATTTGAGTTAAAGTTAATGAACTTATTGTGTTCCTTTTATGGTCACATGATAATTGGTCTGGATTAGCTACAAACTCACCGGTAACAATTATGTTATTAAAAATCGATGAGAAGTTAATGTTAGACATCGCTTTTTTGCCTTATGGCTTAGTTCACATTATTAATTAGACTTAAAAAGGAACAAATGTGAATTGATGACTACCTTTAGATAATAGTTGGGTCAATAAAAAAATTGTCTGTGAGAAACTCCACACTCAACTTGACTAGGAAAAGTTAATCATTCCGTGTCGACAGTAATAATACTATGTCTTCAAAGATTACGTGTTATCTTATTGTGCAAAAGGCGTAAATAATGACAATCTTTTATCAATTTCCATTATATATTTCTAGACAATGAATATCCAACTTTCATTGTAATATAAATAAGGCGGCTTCAAATTCTATTATTGATACCGTACATAAAGTCTAAATATTTCGGAGCCAAGAAATAATCTCCAAAAAAAAGGAAGTATTTAAATCTCCATTATTTCGGTTTTTTATTCTTTCTAAAATAGTCTCACTTTATGGATAATTATTTTTGAAAGCGATGAAAATGATAGATGTGTTTTTTTCGGCACCTACTTTAAACAATACATATAGAATGTAATTTAAGGAGCACAATTATAGTGTCCGAAAAATCCCTGCTCACCTTCAAAAATAATTACTCTTATGAGTTAATTTCATATTAATATTCAATTACAGCATGCAATTCCGAAATTACTATTGAACATAACATACTATACGTACATGCGTATTTGTATCTCGCTGTGTGTTTAATGTAACATTAATACAGACAATAATATACAGTATATGGGTAATTATTTTTGAAGGTGAACAGGGATTTTTCGGACACTATAATTGTGCTCCTTAAATTACATTCTATATGTATTGTTTAAAAGTAGAGGCCGAAAAAACACATCTATCCTTTTCATCGCCTTCAAAAATAATTACTCATATAGCAAATTTATAAAGAGATATGAAATGGCGTGATAATTTGATGTTACTTCATGTAAACATGATTTTATAATTAAGACTAGTTTGAATTGATTCATGAAGTTTTGTTGTTACAAATTGTCGCAATGCATTTTGAAGACTTCTATCTAGGAAAAAAATTGATACTTCAAATGAATTTGTTTATCATACATACAGTAAAAGTCACTGGAGCACTCTTGATACCGTTGTGGTATGATTAAACCTTATTATTTGATGAGTATTCTTTGTGATTTCAATATACAGTATTACCGTGTTTATTTATATTTCTTATACATCTATATTTATTGAATTTAATTTTTATAATTTATTTGATTACGAATCGTTTGGTTATATCAAATTGTTTTTTATCAGCCTATTTAAACACATCATATAAACAAAAGCATTGCACATAAATTATTATAATGTCCGAGCACTGCGAAGGACATTTGAAAATGGCTCCAACATTGAGATGACTCCTCTCTGATAAAATCTTTAATAGACTAAATGGTTAGACCAATTACCCATCACGAGAATGGTGGACAGGTCTGACCCAGAGTCCTGGGTGTAGAATGTCGCTAAAGATCTAGTGTGCTTGGCCTTCAGATCAGAAGACAATATGACAAGGATCTCCTTGATCCACCGCGTGATGGTGTCTGTAGTGGCAGGTGAGTGGTCTCTTGTTGAAATGAGAAAGAGAGCAGAGGAACCTGGGGCCTACCATTGCTCTGTCCTAGATAGGAGAGCCTGGAAAACATCCAGCGAGAAGATTTTCGGTAGGTCTTCATAGCAGCCTATGTATATGCTCTTCTTGGCCAGTTTTGCTCCCCCGTATGAAAGAGTGATATTGTGCTCCTTGGGGTTTAAAATGTTTACTACCATACTGCAGTCTGTGAACCTCATAGAAAATATGTCAATCCAGACTAGATCTGAAGGGCAGCTGGTAGTGATAATAGCAAGTAAAAAAGCTGTCTTTTGTAACAACTGCAATAATGACATGCTTTCGTTGCTGCTGAATGCTCGTATCTATTCAAATGACGGGGCCAAATCAATTATCTCGTCGAAAGAAGGTATCGGTGGATTCTTCTTAAATATGGCTTTCATTGCTCTAGATATATCAGCGTGCAAACTGATCAAGAGATTGTCTACCCATTTGTGCACTTCGCTGATGACTGACCTATAACCTGCAATGATATTGTACGTCATCTCTGCTTCCAATTGATTGTTGAGGAACTCAATTATTCATTCGATAGGACAGATAGTGGGATCGAGGTTCCTTCCACTGCACCAATCGACCCATCTCTTGATATTAAATGAAACTGTTCTAGAAGCTTTCTTGTCGTTCGCTGATAGGCAGAGGTCGATAGCTTTTTTCAAAAATTTCTTGAACAATAGTTTACGCCTGATATATGCGCTACGCAAATCCTTCATTTTCTTATTTTCGCGAATTGTGCGATATCCCCTGTCGGAACTATTGCGTCAGGTGGCAGAAGAATCAGAGAAGTTATCATCATAAAGAATAGGAGAGGAAACCATGGTGCTGAGGGCCAGAGGGAAAAAACTAAAACTATCTCTATTTTCTCTTTCCTGACCTTCTCTAGCATTTTCAGGAGGAGGATTCATAGCGGATTTGCCCAATATCTCCAACCCTTCCATGATATCGAAAAAGTATTTGTGGCCCAA